GCTAGAGCCAGTCTGAGATGAGCAGTCAGGCTTAGTAGCTGGCCAGCTGAATTGTAACCAATATAAGCTACAAGGCTCTGAAAGGGAGGTAGCACCTATGTTTTCCCTCTCATTCGCCGAATTACAGACGATCACTGGACTGTGGCAGGATATTGAGGGAGGAAAAGAACAACATGCAGAGGAGCAGGTGAGGAGGTACTGTAAGTGCCCGTAATAGAGAGAAGTCAAATGCGGCAGAGAGGTGGTGAAAATCAGATAATGACTGGGAGATCTGGAAAGAGGAGATGAAAGGAGACTAAGCAAGGGGAAGAGGCACGAGAAAAAAGTAAGGGAGAAAGTGAGAAAAATGAAAGCGAAGTTTAAGGAACAGAAAATTTAAGGAAAAGGGCACATTTCGTCTTCCCTTCTTCCATCTCCCCCCCAACGTCCCTATAGTGCACTCCTACTGCTACTTGCTAATGCTGTAACTGAACAAGACTCCCACCTAACACAAGATGCTGGGGTCCTCCTCTACTGTAGCAGAACAAAAAAGACTGACTGCACACGTACAACATCTCATCATGGACTTGCCTACAGTGTTGAACCACCCCCTCCTCTGGCAAATCTTATCTAAGAGGGTGTAGGGTTTGCAGTCAGTAACGATACATGTTGCGGGAACAGCCCAGAAGTCTTACGCAGAGAAGCCACTTTTACAAACAGGTACTGGTATAAAGCACTTGCAGATTTGCACATACCTTATGGAAAAGGAACACAGATACAGTGACTCCCTTTCCATAGTAAATTATCATTTAAAATGTTCAACAGAATATAAAGAAGGAAAATTAATTTCTTGGCAAGTTTCTTACATTTTCAGGAAACGTAGCAAGCAGCTGAGCTTTTGTTCTAGTTTTTACTGTGGAGGAACTCTTTTACGCACTGATGAAAATGGTTGCGTATCTTCACACAGTGTTCTTATATCTGTAGATGCAGATATCTTCCATACACAATGGAATGGGTGGTTGCAATAAAATTAAGAGTGGCTAGGATAGGTAACCAGAAACTGGTCAGGAGGTAAGAACACACCAATGAAAGCACATTTATAAAGATTTAGCTCTCTGAATACACAGTGCCGAAAATATCTTTACTGTATTTTCAGGAAGCTGACCCATCTACTGAAACCTAACAGGACTTTTCATTATTATCCTTCAGACATCCCATAAGGAAAAGTTATTTAAATATATTATGCAGCCATCTTATCTTTTTTTATTCAGTATCAAATAGTTGTAGTAAGCAACATGTGCTTTTTACAGAACTAAAGGTAGAACATTAAGAATAGTATTTATTTTATCCAAAAAAAAAAGGTCCAAACAGCTGTCTTCTGAAATTAGTCAAGAACTATTTTCTGGCTATTTCACCTTAAAAACGAGCCTCAATGATTTGACCACCCATGTTGAATATACTAATTGTAGAGGACAAGAAACAAGCTGTTACTAGATTCTTATATTAACAAAAAATGCCTCATTTTATGCTACCCTTCTTTTCAGATCTTTGCCGCACATGACTGGATTGATACTGGTTTTTTAATAAATAAAGTCTTTGTATCATTATCATTCTGGTCAGCACCTTCTGAACATATCCAGGAGACACAGGAAGTATGCAAATTCAAAACACAGATTATTAAAAAGACTAAACTAATGACTAACACTTTCATTACCCAAAGAAAATAGTATTTGAAATACTGTCAAATGTGATAGCAGCAAAAACGAAGCACACTGCCCTGCATTTACAGCAGAATGATATTGTTAAAACATGCCACTCAACTTTCTGAAGTTTAATGGGTGGCTGAAGTGATCAGAACAGGAGGTTCCTCAGAGGTTTGAGCTATTCCAGGACAACATCATTGGTGAAAGTTTTTGACACTATATTGACTTTCCTTAGAAGTTTTTTTTTTATGTTTGTAATAAAAAGGAACTCTAATGGCTTCTTTTTGTTCTTTGTTTTTTTGCTTTTCTTTTCAGTGAACATTGACAGGTATACCTGAGAGACTCCAATCGGTTTCAAAGCTGGATATGGACTGGGATACAAGTAGAGGCAGCAGAAAAATGATAATGAAAGCAAACCATTCAGTATTCTGATGAAGTTGAAAAATTAGGACTGTTTACACAAGTCAGAACTTCTTTGCATTTCCTGACATTTCTGGTCTCTT